AATAAAAGAAGCTAGAAAGCAAATTAAAAATGTTTAACACTTGAATGTGCATCAGTATTGACCATAATCACTTTGTAAAACTTACCAGGGAAAAGAAACTTCGATACAGATGCGATTCAGATTTTATGAATGTCCCCCAAAATTATGCCCTCTATGTATTCACATTGCGTTTTCTCTACACTTATTATTTCCATTTGAAGAGAGGCTTGTCTTGATCTAAGTCACATTCCTGTTTATGGGTTTATTTATTGACACCTTCTTGAATTAGTTTCAAATAGGGACCAAATTCACCCCCCATTGCTATCGCAACACCACCAATTTGGGTGCTGAAAATAAACATGAGTTAATTTGATTAATAAAAGTGTGAATTTAAGAGCTGGAATGAAGACACATATTATATGCTTGTATTTTAAGTTTTAAGTCAATATAATTTTTTTCTAATTTCTTTCTCTGAAGGTATTTAATCCTTTGAACCATTTGCATGCACCGTTTCCACTTCCTGCATATACGTGGTGAAAGATACAAATCTCCCTTTTCCCTGCAGCTAGTGATTAGGTTATGCTAATCATTGTTGCTGGATTACTTTGGCTGTGACACCAGCAGCTTCAAACATCTCCACTAACTCTCCACTTTATAAAAACAAACAAATATCCCTTAATTGCATAAATAGAAGATGAGCAAAGGGGTTTACCAATCTCTTAATTGCTCAATTTTCCATAAACAAATTAGTCTTTGGTTCTCTAATGCATCTTAGGTTGCAGCTCTAGGTTGCAGCTCAGAGGTGCACATTTTTTCTCTCATAAACATTGTTGTTGCTTGTTGTTAATGAGAAAGCCCCCTCATATTTGCCCATTTTTTAACGAAGGGATGATTATCTGCTCTCTAGCAGTCTACCTCCATGTATAATGTGATGTGCGAGAATGGGGCATCACTGATTGAGGAGGAACGTCAGGATTTATCTCGGTGTGTAATTACCATCCTGATTAATGGGCGCCCCTCGCTGAGAGCGCATACCCCCACAGGCCTCCTATGGTTGCAGTCGGCGGAGAATCAGCATGCAGACTGTTTTACTTCAAAGCAAGTCATTAGCTTGATTCTTTATAGCTCATATTTTATTGTCACCAATATCATTTAACTAAGCTGTCACATTTGGTGGTACAAACGCTAAGGTGCTGTAGTGTCTATTTTATGAACGATGCCCTGACCCCCTGATCCACACCTACACCTCTCTCAGTGCACTACTCTCACCAATTACAAACATACATATTGGCCTAAATCACTTTAAGCATGTGAAAAAAAACAAACAAAAAAACTTAACGCCTTTAAGAATTTTAAAAATATACATTGAGTTGATCTATAGATTGAATTTGATAGGTATGCAGATATTTTCAAAAACCTTGCTCTGTGTTTAAAGAAGCTCTTTTTGGCACTATAACCTTGCTATGATACAGTCCTTCAGCAAAAACAAACATTTTGGCTAAAACTTATTTTTTTTAAATAACCATAGTGTCCTTTGTTTTCACTTCTTTACTATCCACGTATTTTAGCAACCAGAAATATTTCCATACTTCTAAACTGATCCTACTTTAAAGGATAGTAAATCAGCATAGTCCTGTTTTATCCAGCTGAAGAGCAGTGCGCAGCAACAGGTGGGGAGTTAGCCATGCATTTCTTTATGTTCCACACAGCTGAGGTATAGAGCATACTGCATGAAAGACATGGGCTTAAAAAAACATTACTTTATGCAAGTAAACACCAGTAACAGATAGTGTTGAATTGCATAAAGTCTAGAGTAGAAAAGTGCAATCGATCAATTATTTAAGGTTCTTAACTAGAGATAATCAGATGCAGACTGGATTCAATAAAATAAGAATCAATAAGGGTTGGAGCCTCCCTTCACTCTCTTTGCATGCAAATAAGTGAGTTTTTTTTTCCAAAGAAACAAATACTCAATCAACATGGGGTGAACCATATAAAAAAATGTCACATTCTGTGTAACCTATTTAAAGACAAATCTCTTTGATGCTGGCAGAAGATGCTCCTGTATGTAAATGAATGTAAATGAAAAGTCTGCCATTTGCAACATGTGAAACTAAATGATAATTGTGGCGTCTTTTTGTTTTCTCTGTAGGGAACAACATGACCTTGCCTTAAGTGTTGTTTTCTTCCATTTTTATTCTGCAATTCTTTCTTTCCCTTCGTATTTGAGTCTGTTAATCAAAAGAAGAGAAAGACGTGCTACAGAAGTATAATTCTTATATTCACAAGCAGAGATCTTTACAGAAAAACAGTAGCTTGAAAATATTAGTTGTTTAGATTTCTAAAATTTTTCTCTAGAAAATGATTTTATCACAGAAAAAGCTGAGATTACAGTTTCTAATCCAACCGTTTTTGTTGCTCAAACAATGCATGGATTGAATCCTGTGTTATTGTTTTTTTTGTGTGAACATAACAAACACCCCGAGCTGCAACAACTGTAATTACATTACATCCAAACACACACACACACACACACACCCATCACTCTGAACTCAGCACGTCTGTCGACTGCCATGGGATGTTAGAGGCGTGTTGCTATGGCTACTGAGAGGGGACACACAGGAAAGAGGGGGTTAGAGTAGAAGCAGAAAAAAGAAGGGAGGCTGGTTGGGATAGAGAGGGCGGGGACGGGGGGAGTAGTTTGAGACTGAGAAAAATAGAGAGAAGGACTCGTGGAGATGCCGGCATCTAGACAGCAGAGAGAGAGCGAGGAGCTGGGAACAAGCCAAGCCGCCAGGGGAGTATCCGGAAATCTGCTGGTGGGAAGTGTCACTCAGAGTCAGGAATTACTAGAAAGCTGTGTGTATGTTAGGTAAGGCACAGGGTCAATCAGGGTCAGCTTAAAGCTTTTGTTTTAACTGTGTAACTTTGAGAAAAGGGGGGGGGAAATAGTGAAAAACCCTAATTTTAAATGTCTTTTTCTTTTCCTGCCTGTCTGTTTATTTAATAACAGATCAGTGGAGGCACGCTCTATACTGAGAGAATATGTCAAGTAACTGATCAGGTTTCATAAATTCAGCCGAGGTGCAGCGATCGAACAGCAGCAATTGAAATAATTGGCATTGAGACAAATATTTAAAGCTAGTGACAGCACACTTCATTGATTGGTAAATGGTGTGGGTGTTGCGGGTGTACGTGCTTCACTTTTATTTCCTGTGTTTGTGTAAGAGACTTGTGTTTGTGTGCATGTGGGGCTTTGTCTGTCTCTTGCAGAGGAGTAATGATATTTATTGCAATCTTTGCAGCTGGAGAGGGGGGAGGGGTGTGGTTGAGTACAAAGCTTTATGTGGCTTTGTTTCTACTATTTCCTATCATTTCTCTTTGCCTGCTTATGAAAGTATGTGATTTGTGTGCATGGGGGTGTTGGAGTTGCAATCTGAGTTTCAGTCTAGGTGCATCCGAGAGGGTTTTCACTTTGTACTTTCAGTTTGTGTTGAGGAACGTCTTGCTCATTCTCAGGTCGGATGACTGCGCTGTCTGCTGGCTCAGAGATGCAAACATCAATTCTGGAAACCCAGTTCATAGTGGGCCCCCAGGCCAAAGTAACTGGCAGAAAGAGAGGACGGCCCCCCATCCGGAAGCTGGAATTCCAGAGCCACTATGTGGATTCTTTGTCACCCCTGAAGGTCCCTAAGAAGAGAGGAAGAAAACCGGGCTTTAAGGTCATTTAACTTTTCTATTTCAACTACAGCTATTGAAATTAACATTATTCTCTTTTTAAGAGTTGCCAGTCATTTCTTAAGCTATGTAGTGAAAATACCTCAGTAGTTACCAGTATCTCTACTCAGGATGTAAAATCTGTGTTTTTGCCGTGCTTAGAGGCCTCAGCTCTCAGAAGCTTCATTAAGAAATTCAGAAAATTGAAGCAAGCTATGATCTTTTTTAGGTTCAAAAACTTAAAATCCATTTAATATTAATCTAGAAATCTTGATCTTAAATCTATAATGAAAGAAATTAAAAATTCTGATTTATAGTTACAAAATTCAACTAATTCACTTTAATCAAGATGCACTGATTAAAAAGAGATATATGCACTGGAAAAAAATGATCTTAAATTAAGTGTATTTACTCGTAATTTGAGCAGGTAAATTAGTTAATTTGCAAATGGAATTAGTATATTTACTCTGAAAATAAGAAAATTAAATAATATGCTCTTGAAATAAGACAATGTAATTGTGTTTTCTTATTTTAAGTGTAAATTGTCTTGTTCCATTGGCAAAATGTCTGTTTTACCTCTTTATTCCAAGAACAAATGTAATTATGCAAGGAAAAAAATGACTAAAAACAAGTCATTTTTTTCCTCCAGTGTTCTAAAAAAGTATGAAATGCTGTGGTCATTTTATGTCCATTGACAGCTGTCGGTCAGCAATGTGGAAAATGATGGAAAGTCGCAAAATGTCCTTGCTGGCTGTTCATGCAGGGCGATATGCAGGCATGGAGAATTAATGGAAAAGTTATTTCAGGAGTTAGTTTAGGAACATTTTAGTCAAAATACATTTTCTCCGTTAAGTAGAATTCAAATTTAAAATTCTGAATGGTCCTGTTGATGAGTTTGGTGTAGCAAGTAAGTTATTTCCGGTTGTTGAATCTGGATTAGAACCGAAGCAGAATCCTTCTAATGTTGAGAAATGTTCAATTTGAATGCCTATTTTTTTGGCAGAAAATGAAAAAAATTTTAAGCTTAAGGTAAAATTAGGAACAAATAAGGGATCCTTAGCATAGAAGGCGAAAACAAGAGTGGCTAAAGCTAATATTCTTCTGCCCAAGTAACCTGTAGCTATGAAACATGAAGTAGCGCAAAAGCAAAGAAAAAAAAAGACGAGGAGGCCCCTCACCACAGAGAACATCCTCTCTCTTTTAAAGGTGAAATAATCCCATAAAGAAAATGGTTTGCGATCACAGCACAGCCATGATGTCAGGCCATTGAGACGTACTTTTAAACACAAACCAATTAATGAACCATGAGAACCAGATTAATCAAACATAATTTCTTTTTTAATCCATTTTCCATTTAAAATCCAAAATTTAAAATGTTATAATTTCTGTTTCTTAAACAGAAAGTATGAAAAAACAACACCTTTTTTGTTTTATGTTGTCAAATTCATAAATAAAACGCTAAACAGTCACTTAACTCTTGTGTAACATAAGTGATAAGCCTGTGTGTAAATATAGGAAAAGATCAGAGGATGTTTTTTTGACTACAGATAGCATTACTGTTGGGATATATGCAAACAAATCAACGTTGTGTGCACAGATGCAAGGGGATTTCTGTGGTTCATTTGAACAATAAAAAGAGCTATTTTCTTTGTTGATTAAAAGTAAAATTAAATAATCTAAAGATTATTAGTTACAACTGATGTTGATTGATATATTTTTCTACCACTTAAAAATGTACTTGTTTATGCAAGTTGAACAACTAATCCAACATTTCCTTTAAATATAGTTGTGCGAAATAATGCTCACAAACCTCAGACTTAAAAAATGTATAAAACAATGTATAAAACTGCAGTGCTACTGTGGTTGGAAATTGTTATCTCCTATTAATTCCCTTTTACAGCTATTGATTGAGTGCTTATTCTACATTTCCTTATAAAAGCATGCATTTAGGCCTCAGAGCTGCCAGGATATAAGGTGTCTAAGTACATTTTTGGCTAGAAAACCTCAATTAAATATGAGAAAAGATTTTATTGACTGATTGGTTGCTAGATTTACTCACACCATGCCTCATCTCCATGTTAAAATGAAACCTCCTGTGAGCCACCATGGGATTTTTTTTAAATTAAAAGTCAATTTGTTATAATGGATCCTCTTCAATCACGTGTTTTACAACAATAAAGAGGTCATTGCATGGCTCCATCTCTCTTTTTTGTTTTGATTTAGACAGAACACATGTTTATATTTATATCTACAAAATAAACAGAACACAATCTTTTGAAAATATGTTATTTAGTTGTAAAGCAAAATATATGTGTAATGTTCCTGCAGGCAATCACTCACCCGTGACATGCAGACACATGAGGTGTGCCTTTAAAAAATATTGTTCTTAACCTCTGGGACTTTAATGTCTCAGTTGTATGGAAATTGCAACTGACCAAATCATGTAAGCAAGATACAGGGAAAGAAATGGTTGCAATGGTTATTGCAATGGTTATTCGACTGTTGCAATGGTTATTCGACTGTTAGCTTTTTTTTAAGGCCTACATCAAGAATGCTTGATATATGTTAAATGTAATTTTTAAGGATTAATATAAATTATATTGAGCATGTGAATTGCTCAATCAGAGTGCACAGAAACATGAAGAGCAGGAGGATTTATTTATAGTTATGGAGCTGATATAATGACCCATGAAGTGCAGAATGTAGTATTAAAATTTAAAACCGATGTTTCATCTTTAGAAGTTAGTTTAGAGGCGTTTTTTGGGTGTTTGCATATAGATATTGATTTAGATTGTCCTCCCTCAATCACATAGGACTGGATAAGCATGTGCATAGCACTGCATGTTCTATAAGGGAGGAAACATAGAATAATTCCCATTCATTCAGTCCACTTTAGTTTCTTTTTAAGAAAACTACTGACTCGATTAAAATGCAGTGTTGATTTGCAAATGCGTATGTGTTTGTGTGCGTGTACCTTTGCAGCTGAAGCCCAGGATGGTGATGTCCCCGCTCGCCAACTCTCCTCCCAACAGCACACCAGAACCTGAGATGGGTTCTATCCCACAAGATGCTGCTATCGTACCCCACTCCGCCACACCACAGGTCCTAACAGGTATAAAGACATTTATACACAAGATATTAACGTCGGGTTTCATATTATATTTCTTCAATTCATCACACACATGCAGCTCTAGTTCCTCTATTCTGTGTATTTCTATGATTCTTCTTTTACATTCCCTACTCTCCTTTACTGATAGAAAAGCTTAACGAGGTAAGACAGCTTTTATTGTCCTAATGTTGAAATTTCGTTTAGTACAGCTTTTCAGTAAATTAATCATTTCCATTCCATAAAGTGCAGCAATGATCAAATGTAAACAGTGTGGGAGAAAAAAAATGGTGCAAAAAACCCCGCATTGATACAGTATGAAAGTCAGATCATTAATATATATTCATCCAAGTAACATATCCATCTTAAAACATAATCAGTCTGCTTTGATCTCTAAAGTTATTAGTGCCTGGTCGTCTGTTTATTTTGCAGTAAATACATCCATGTTAGTTCTGTCATACTTTGATGAAAAGAAAATACTCCAAATACATTACAACTTCTAGACTTCAAGTCCTTTAAGTTGCTTTTGTTGACTCAGAAATTTGTCTTTCAATTATTACTCAAAAATAGGAAATGCTAATTTCAGAAATCCATCAGTTTTTTTTTTTTTTGTTCTTCACCCTGAATAAATGTCCTTAAAAAATGAATATTGACTTGGGTGTATTTGACATTAGAGCACCAGTCTCATGCTTGAGGAGTAGTGTTAGACTCTTTGTTCTTGTAAATCATAAAAAGTGTTTGATGTCAGGGTGTAGACATACAGAGAAAAGCACACATGTGCACATAGACTCATGCATGAATCAGAGAGCTCCCTGTGGTGTCACCCAGATATATATGTAAATTATTCCTCTGGTGAAACAGAGAAGAATTTTTTTTTTTATATTTTATGCAGTACATTTAAGAAAACATATAATCGTTTATTTTTTCAGTTCTGTTGTAAAAAAATGATTTTGAAATTTTACTGTTTTTACAAAAATAATGTCAATTAACAGTAAAACATGCTCATTCTGCATGTTTGTACAGTGTGTTTGTGCATGTGTGTCAGTACATAATCCTCCATATTCATTCTCATAGATCTTATCTCATAATTGATTTTTCTGAATACAATAAAATGCGTTTGACTTTTGCCTGAGCACGCTCTAGGGGTAATCCAGAAGCTTCTCTGTGGAGTGTTTCCTCATCATATAAATCTGGCAAATCCATAACTGTCTTGCTCAGGCAAAACCAGAAGGCATCTGCATTATCGACAGGGTAAAATTGCTTGACACAAAGGAAAGAAATACAGAGGAATTACTGTCTGCCTGTCTTCCATTTTGCATCCACATGATGAACAGCCTGTGATAGCTGTTCTGAAAATGAGCTCCTTTTTTCTATACTTGCAATTTAAATGGTTTATATGTAAAGTATATATTAAAGAAAGAAAAAAAAACATCGGTCTGCTATTGTAAAAAAGTAAAGTAAGATAATCATGCTTAAGACAGAGAGTAATGTTTCTGCAGATAGTAAAGCAATATTCTAAAATGTTTGCTGTTAAACAAAGAAATACACTGCAGAGTACAATTGGTAGATTTAATCTGAGGGAGAAAAAATCCCTTTAAGAAATAAGTATTACAATTTATTTTTTTTCCACAAACAATTCACACAAAATACATACAACTAAAGTGTTTTTTGTGTTCACTTCTCACTTCTAAGCTCTAGAAAATGTTAATGTTTAACTAATTTGAAAGGATCATTTACCTAATAATGGTAGGAAAATTCGCTTTGTCACATTGCTCTAAGCAGGAGCCTCACTTTTGGACATAAATCATTTTTTAAATCTCACATTTGATTAAAATGAGTATGGGGACATTGAGAGACATCCACCATTAATTCTAATACAGAGGCAGAAAGAACCACTGAAATCCAGCTTCTCTTACAAAGCCAACATGAAACTGACATTAAAGTTCATGATCAAAAAAAATAATGCAGGGGCTTAGTCTTGCACAATTGCCTCACAAATGTCTGTGCTTCACTCAGGTTCGAATTTCTGATTAAATAACTTAGTTTTAGTCTCGGAAAGTCTCAGAAGCTAGCTAGTTGATGGATTGGTAAAGTACTGCCAGCAGATGGCGATAGTAGATTACACCCTGTCCAAAAATCTTTTTCAGGCTAAAAAAGAACTAAGGTAACGCTACGAGGATGACACCTGGCATATTTTACTTTATTTTAACATGAACATATGTTTATTTTGTGTGTTTGTATGTGGCCATGTCTTTGTTATCTGGTGGGGACAATTTTCCAGAAATATGCTACATTTTGGGGAGTTATAGGTACTTGTAGGGACTAACCGCTGGTCCCCAAAAAAGTAATTTTTTTGGGGGTGGGGGTAAGCTTTAGAACCAAGGGGCCGGATTTATCAAGATCCAATTTTGCGTGCAGTAATTTGCGCTCACAAACTGGAATTTTGTGCGAGGGGCTGAACCATGGTTTTTCGGGTGATTTAACAAGAGCGATTGCGTAACTGGTGGTAGGTGCAAAACTGTTGGAGACGCCCTATTTAAATGATGGTTTTGCGCGTTTTGTGGTTTGCGGCAAAGTAGTTTGTAAACTTTGGCAACCTTTATCCTAAGGTGGTATGTGGCTGAATTTCTACTTCACCGCAGTAAAAAAAAAAAACAACAGGTGTTTTGTATCGGCCTGTAGAAAAATGCACATACCAAATGGCTCACAAGAAGTGACTGTGGATAAGATGACTGCGCGCTGCATCCCCGCAGCATTGGCATGTTGCTCCACAGGCGCAAGGCGGGAGGTCGGGGTTCTCTCCTTTGCGAGTGCTAAATTAATATATTTACATGTTCTCCTCCCACAAGACGCACTTTTGCGTGTAAACGCCCAATATTGAATATTCATTGCAGAAAAAGTACTAAATGGATAAGAGGCGCTATTTAGCACGTTTTAAAGACAAATCCTTTTAGCACGCTGTTGATAGATCAGTTTGTACATTTTTTAGCGTGCGCAGTGAAATAGCTCACGTTTTTATACACGCAAACCTTTGATAGATCCGGCCCAAGGTGTGTGAACTGAGTTTAGGTTAAGTATGTGTTGGTAATGGTTAGGGTTAGGGCAAGGGTCACGGTTGGGCCATAGAAATTAGTAAAAAATGAATGGAAGTCAATGGAAGGTCCCCACAAGGATAACATGAGACAATGTGTGTGTGTGTGTTTTTATTACATGCTTGGGACCATTTTCCATAAATCTTAGCACATCATGTGGACCATCAGTCCTATATTTGGGACCTGTGTCTGGTCCCCATGGCTACAAATGCTGTTTTAGGTTTAGGATTAAGGTGGGAATTAAGTTTAGGTTAGGATTAGGGTTAGATATGAACCTTTATTGGTCAGAGTTACGATGATGGGAAGGGTTAGGCTGTAGAAATGGGTTAGAAATGAATGGAAGTCAATTGAAGGTCCCCACAAGGATAGATGAATTATAAATGTTGAAAGGGCGATATTATTGCCATAAATTTTAATACAGTGTATAGTAGAAATTTTACACATTCAGTAATAAAATGTCACAGGGGATGGTATGGGGCTTGCGGCTCTGTGGAGCTTTTTGAAAAATTTATGAAAATCTATTTTTTTGTTGTTGTTGTTTTAATGTGGTGTGCAGGAGGTTAAACAAAAATGTATTGTGTTTTCTAATGCTGTTATCATTTGTATAATAAATAATTTTAAACAATAATTTGCGTTTAGCCATAGATATCAGTGGTTATAACTTGCAACCAGCGTGGCACGGTGCCAGGCAAATAAAGGTGTGTCTCGGACCATGGATCCCAAAGGGGAAAAAAGGAAGAATTTAAAGGATGGAGCAAATCATTTGCTTCCACTATCAATGCGGAACGATTGCCTGTATTTTTGCTGTGTAATGAGAGGTTGTCAAAAAATAAAAAGAAAAATTTGGAAAGGCATTTCCAGGGAAGGCTGCTAAACATGCAGCCGACCACCAAGTTGGGAATGAGAGAAAAGGTGTGATTGCAGAACTTCTGGATAAATTAGAGGAGTGCAAAGATAGATTTAAGAAGGGATTGCATCTCCAATATTGCTGCTAGTTTTGTTGCAAGGATGGAAAAACCGTCCACAGATCAAACAGTTAGCGCTCTGATGCAGGGATGGGAACTTTCTTCTATTTTTTTCCCCAAATCCTAAAAATATAAATCACAGCAAGGAACGCTGGTGATGGAGGGTGTTGAATTTCAGGGTTAGAGAGCTCTGCTCTGATGGATGTCAGTTCCTGCTTGGTTACTCATGACTCAATCAACTCCTCCCAACAGAAACACGTCCACCATAGAAAGATTCCTTTATCGTGTTTCTGTAATTTCATCAATGCTGCAAAACCTTAACCGCACAGTGAAAGGCGGTGAAGCAGTGTGCGCTGAGAGCATTCACTGCTCCTCCATCACCTCATGCTACTATGTGACATTTGCTCCAGGAAAAACATTTAATCGTGGATGCTTATTGTATATTTAAGCCCACATAGTCCTTTTCTATAGTGGGATAATAGACTTAGAGCCTGTGTTGCCAACTTGAGTATTGACTATAGTGGTGTTCCCAGTAGCTTCATCATTACTTTATCTTTGTCACATTACCTTAGGCAACAGAGGCAATATTTCTGGTTGTCTTAAATGTTTTAGATTTGAGACATTTAAGGACATTCATCTTATATTCACCGGCTGTGTAATTATTATTCGTATTTATTGATGTGAACTGCCCTTAACGGTTGCTATTTTTAAAATTTTGTTCTGCTTTTGGCAAATTAAATGGAATCCTGATTTTGATTCTAATCATTGTGTGAAAGGGGCTCAATGGATTTATATTTGATCTAAGGGGAAAAAGAGAAGAGAAAATGGTTGGAATTTCTGTTTTTCCACATTTGTTCTCATCAATCTTCAGGTCAGGAATTGATTGGCAACATCAGCCAATTTATGTCCACATCTCAGACAGAATAACAAAACAGTTTATGCAAATAAATTAAGCATAAGCAAGTGTCAACCATGTCTGCCAACACCAATAACAAAAAAGTCCTATTTTATGTCTTAGGGGTTATTTACATGAAAAAAGTTAATACACAGTAATATTTGAGAATTAAGTTTGTACTTAAGGTCAATACCTTAATCTTGAATTTTGGTCTTTGATGTTTATGTCATAGGCTGACCAAATTCCCAATGTTATCTATTCACATTGGGGTTTGACCATTTAAAACTAATATCCAACTGACTCGTAACCATAGCAGCAGAAATGAGCAACAGAGCTTGGCTTACATAAATAAACGAATCATCAGCTGACTTTTCCAATAAAACTATTCTAACTCTCAACTAAGGAGTTACACCTATTTTATTAATATGGATTCATTTGAAAACTGTATTGTCAAAAAAGAGGAAGTAAAGTTGAAAGTACATTTTATGTGCTCATAGACAGACAATTACATGCTAAAAAAACAAGATTAAATGATTAATCTAAATACATAATATATAGATATAAATGATTATGCCAATCTCTGTTTTCCTTCTCTCAGCAGACACACCCTTGCCTGATGATTTCATGTGTCACCCGCCTGCAGACTCCAAGCGCTACACCGTAGATCCCACTGACTCTGCATTCAACATTATGGCCTCCCAGTACCAAACCAGGCCTTCTTATGTCTATCGTAGCAACAGCTGCTCCACTCCGATAGGTTTGTGCAGACAGCTTTCCAGCCCAGCGAGTTTCCAGGATGGAAATAGAAATGGTGAGGCAGTTAAAGCTGTTAGTGCGTTTTTAGTCAAGCAGAAACACATTCAAAGTAATATTACACCAATGCTTTTAGACTACTGTTATAAAAGCCTAAAAATAATTATGTTCCACCCATTAATTCAGCTGTTAAGATGTTATACACCATGAAACAGCAGTAAAAACGCTCTAGATAACCCCAACAAATTGAAAAGCATTTATAATTCACTTCCTGACATAGTCTCATTGTTAAATGGGTTAAATTGGTAACTTTACTCCTATTTTGACTTCTATGGCAGTGTTGCTCTAAGCCTTTAAACATTGTTTTTTTTATTTCAAAAACAAATGCACAACAGAACCAACTCCAAATTGTACATGTGAAACTGCCTTTGTTTTTCTTTATTCCCTTATTGAAACTATGCCCCTTTCACTTCTGTCTGGCTCTTGAAAATGTACTAAATCAAGGTATATAACATCCTCTCCTTTAATTTCCTTCCTGACTCCTGCATGTCTGTCATTTGCACTCAAAGTAGTTTACTTGAATTTATTTTTTTTTTTTTACATTCTAGATTTTCATATTGATATTACAGATAATTTAAAAGGAATACCACATTGTTTTAAATTGGACATATTGTCATGGTAAAATAGAAGTGGATTGTATTTTTATTGGGGGATTTTAGTTGGTAGATAAAAGATACTAGATCTCTGTCATATAAAATAAGTGAGATCCAAAGTTAAAATGACAAGGCTTAAATAAAAAAACAACAATAATATAATCGGGAACTCTTATATTCAAACAATATAACTGACTCATTGAGGGAAACATGACAATCCTGTAACCACAAAGACTGAAAAGGACAGTGTTTGTAGTTGCTCTTTGTGTAATTCTGGTATAAAAATAAAAAAAGAAGACAAAAATGCTTTTAGAAAAATAAATTATCACTGGGTTTTATGTAACATTCCTTGTTCATTTTGTTCAACTGGGTGAGAATAGATTATTGTGACTTATTTTAAGATCGCAGAATAGATATTCTACTTATTTGAATCCCAATTCTTACCAAGCAGAACCAGTTTCACATTGGTTTAAACGGTTAAAACCCCATCCTTTTCCCTATTGTTGCGTGTTTCACAGCCCTCAGTCCTTTGCCAGACACCGGAGAGGGCAAGCGTCTGGCTGGGAAGGACCCGTCTAACTGGGGTGTGGAGGACGTAGTGTGGTTCATCAAAGAAGCTGACCCTCAAGCTCTGGCACCCCACGCTGAGACTTTCCGGAAACATGTCAGTGTTTATTTTCAAATTTCCCGGTTTAGTGTTGTGCTTTTTTGGAGGAGGCAACTCTAGGGGTATGCCTATAATCATTACTCATAAAAACTGTTGATGTGACCTTCTGTTAGACAGTTATAAACAGTTAATTTCTAAACGCCACTAATTAACCCTCCAAGCAATTGTAAGTTATCATAAATCCAGATTGACTGGTTCCAAGGCTGATCCATTTTATTAGCTAATCCTAGAATTACAAAGACCAAAATAGATATACCCTCTCATGATAACTTGAAACTCTTAAATGTCATAATCATTTTGGGAAACCTGACTTAATTAACATTAGTTACTTTTGCATCAGATGGTGTTTTTACACATTGTGAAATAATATTCACAAATAATCTTCCTCTGTGAACCTCCAGACTAATCATGTAACCTAAAGCATTTTTTGGTCACATATAAAAGTAAAGTGGCATTAATAACAAAAAAAAAAAACACTTTAAGTTAACACTTTTACTTGGATTTGAATACTGCCTTACTCAACAGGTAGATATTTAGTCTGTAACCACCTGTGTGTCAGACCTTCCTCTGCTTCATACAGGAAGGTCATTGGTGGTGAACTGTGTTCTACTTCTATTTCCTGTGAAAATAATGATCAACTTCTGTGTAAAACTGAAGACAATTGCAAATGTAACACCTTTTTAAGTTCATAAAATATTCTTGTTTTAAGATGGTAGGAAATAGCTTTTGTTTTAGATGTCCTTACAGCAAAACCTCACTCCAGAAATGAGGATTCGTTTCTTTGGTGTATTAAAGAAACATGTGTGTTTGGTATGTGTTATTTAAAAAAAAAATATATAAAATTATATTCAAGGTTCATTTTACAATCGATATTCATAAGGGGCTGTGTTGTGTTTCAGGAAATAGATGGAGACGCGCTGTTGTTGCTAAAAAGTGAGATGATGATGAAGTACCTGGGACTGAAGCTGGGACCGGCGCTCAAACTCTGTTACCACATCGACAGGCTCAGACAGAGTCGCTTGTAGTTTCCTGTAAGAGAACTGAAGGCTCTGGCTGAAAAAAAACCCACACCTCAGTGTCCTGAAAACAAGGTGGAGTGGAGACTTTGGTGCTTTATCTGTGTCTGAACCAACTACTGTTAAAAGACTGGACATTTTTTATGTACTTACAGGGAGTATTTGCAACTTTGTTTACTTAAAATTGGAGTGGCTTTAAATTGTAAATAGTTTTGCTGCATGCAGACATCAACTAATGTGAATTATCTGGAGCATTAAACTACGCAGGTAACAATTGTGACCAGTTATTAGCTAAAGGTCTATATATGCAATTATTTCTTTCAAACTATACATGTTTGTAACAGTGAAAAACATATTTAAATTCTCACTTTTAAAAAACGATCTAATAGTGAGAAGCTGCTGGGATGTTATCTGGGTTCTGCTGTTAGAAAAATAAATAGTGGGGGAACATTTTAACACAGAGACTGCTTTATAACACAATAGCTTAGCTGTGTTTTTTTTCCAACAAAAGCTTCCTTTAAAAGGTTACTTTTGAAAATATTTCACTCATTAAACTTGGTGCTACCACAGTAACATACAGTGTTTTCTTAATATCTGGTTTTGCCTTTTACAAAGGAGGCCATTCTGTTTCCGCAATACCTCATTTTCGTGCCATTCTGATCATAAATGCCTCAACTAAAGGAGCAATTGATCATTACATTATAAAAGAAAAATTGGTATGTAGCATTAAGAATTTTCTAATGCAATGCTGTATGACAAACCTGATAAAGTTCATAATGTAATATCATCAACTTTTTTATTTTTTTTTTTTTTTGGAACTTATGACAAAGTTTTGATTAAACCTCTTTTTTAAAGCTTTTATACCAAACTGGTTATTTGTATTTATATATGGTGCAGAATGTTATGACCTCTTTATGTTTGTACTTCATACTTTGCCAATAAACCCTGCTTAATTGTCAAGCACATGTATTATTATCCAATTGGTTCCTGGGTTCCAAACTTAGGAAATGTCCTATTTTTGGGTTTTGGGACCTTTGATAGACTATTGCATGTGTTTTGGAGATAAGAGAAATCTCTGTAAAGATGCAACAGGGTGGCCATAAGGACCTGGCTTCCTTTCCAATAGTGTGTCCATCTATTAATTTTTCCAGCCATTTACCAGCATGACCTTTACTGCTTTTCTGGGGATGGCATCCAACACTTGTGCAGACTTCTTGCTCCTAATTGAGCACCGCACCAACCTAAGCGGAGCCTTAACCTTTACACAGGTGATCTGTGTTGGCCTCAGATGTATCACTAGTGGTATGTTCCTGCATCCAGAATGGAAATGCTGAAAATCTTAAAGACTATTTCCGGCACCATCAGAAGGATATATGTGCATCCTTATAACTTTTCCCAGCAGCAGATGAATGAACTACATCAAGAAGGGATTCTACAAAATTGCTGGTAACATAAATCAGGTTACACATCACAAAAGACACCTCAGAGCAGGTGGGCGACTTTTTCATTTTTAATAGACCACGAACACATCAAGATAAAAAGCACATGAATGGAACTTTGTTAACAAAAAACCCCAGTGTATAATTAGAAGTGAGTTATGGTTTGGCCTGTCAAATGCACACATTTATTATGTGCATTAAATGACCTAAATGCATATTATTGCTTCACACTATATATGATGCTAACTGCATCTTCAGCAACATATTTGATTCCAGAACATGTCCTTTAAAGCCTTTAAAGCAGGCATCCCCAACCTTGTTCCTCGAGGTTATAGAGGTTTCGTTGCTCCAGCACAGCTGATTTTAATTGAAAGCTGATTAACAGGATTTTGGTCTAATGCAATCATTTATTCATCCTGGCCCTTAAATTAAACAATTTAAGGGCCAAGTTCCTTACTGGTCTGAATCCTGGGGATAATGCCCCCCCCCATCAGACACATTACTTTTTTCTCTTTTAACACTTGAAAATTAAAGGATCAAATATGTGTCGATACGCCTACTAAGTCATTTGTACAAGTATTTTGTATTTATAATTGACAATTTATGCAATTATCACTTGAAAATGTTGTCTTATTTAATTTTGACCCTCTTTGGTCCAGTCATATTTATTCCGTACGAATATTGACCAGATGTGAAACAAAAAAGGTGATAAATCATACATCTGCTGCTCGACAAAGTTTCTATGCCAGTTGCCATCCATGATATACCTGGGGTTCGATGTCCATTCTCCGATATTTAGGTCACAGGCTTAAAGCATTATTCTACAGTCTATTCTACAGAAAGACTTGAAAACCCTGGCATTGTTTACACCTATGGCATGTTACAATATTAGCTCCCATTGTTAATTATTACGTTTGAAAAAAATGACAATTGACTCATTTTGTTACTTGGTTTAGTCATTGTTGTTCTATATAAAACCTCTGAGACACTTAATTAAACTTATGCAGTTATATATTAATATATTTTATATAATAATATATTTTTGTTATATATATATATATATATATATATATATATATATATATATATATATATAGCTATATATTGTAAAAAAAAATATTAGAGGCTGAATACAAATGCAAACAGAGTTTTAAAAAGTGGGGTTGCGTATGTTTTTCAATTTCGTGCTGTCTTAACATAATTTATAGATGTAGTCTTTATTTCCTATTTTGTTTTGAAGATTTTGGTAAAGCCAAATAAAAACAAATTGGAACTTTATTTTGAAAAGAAAAGCGCAGACACCTCCTATTTCCGGTGTCCTGGGTCTTACGCAAACACACGCTACAGTCTGGGAGGTCAACATGGGAGACATCTCAGAGAGGACCTTGCAGGTAGCCGTGGTTGTTTCCTTTGCTGTAGGCTTCCTTTCGGGCTGGCAGGCCAACAGAATGAGGAGGAAATTCCTGGACTGGAGGAAGAAGCGGCTTCAGGATAAACTGTCTGAAACGCAGAAGAAGTTGGATCTTGCTTGAATGGTAAGGCGACGTCAGAGTTCAGCTCAGGTCTTTCATCTGAAGGAATTTATAAATATGAACACAATTTGGATTTTTACACACTTAATTTGCTATCCTATCTCATTTGACAGGTTGGCTGTTGGTTCAGAGAAGCTGGTTCAACCTGTTTGTCCTTCTTCATGTTTGGTTTAACCACACCTGGCGAAGCAAGTCTGTTCTTGATACTCTCCAAGCTCCCCAAAACAAACCGTTGTTAAAAGAAATATCTGTTGTGGATATGTAAAATGTAAAAGTTGGACATTTCTCTTTGTATCAGTGGAAGTTTTTCACATATGAACAAATAAATTATTGTATTTTTCTTTTTTTNGTTGCGTATGTTTTTCAATTTCGTGCTGTCTTAACATAATTTATAGATGTAGTCTTTATTTCCTATTTTGTTTTGAAGATTTTGGTAAAGCCAAATAAAAACAAATTGGAACTTTATTTTGAAAAGAAAAGCGCAGACACCTCCTATTTCCGGTGTCCTGGGTCTTACGCAAACACACGCTACAGTCTGGGAGGTCAACATGGGAGACATCTCAGAGAGGACCTTGCAGGTAGCCGTGGTTGTTTCCTTTGCTGTAGGCTTCCTTTCGGGCTGGCAGGCCAACAGAATGAGGAGGAAATTCCTGGACTGGAGGAAGAAGCGGCTTCAGGATAAACTGTCTGAAACGCAGAAGAAGTTGGATCTTGCTTGAATGGTAAGGCGACGTCAGAGTTCAGCTCAGGTCTTTCATCTGAAGGAATTTATAAATATGAACACAATTTGGATTTTTACACACTTAATTTGCTATCCTATCTCATTTGACAGGTTGGCTGTTGGTTCAGAGAAGCTGGTTCAACCTGTTTGTCCTTCTTCATGTTTGGTTTAACCACACCTGGCGAAGCAAGTCTGTTCTTGATACTCTCCAAGCTCCCCAAAACAAACCGTTGTTAAAAGAAATATCTGTTGTGGATATGTAAAATGTAAAAGTTGGACATTTCTCTTTGTATCAGTGGAAGTTTTTCACATATGAACAAATAAATTATTGTATTTTTCTTTTTTTTATTGTAAAGGAGACATTTTGTGTCTAATACACATAGGATTTAACACGGCGGTGTGTGAATAACAAAGAGATCTCCTGATTTACCCTATTTAATGTTCAATGTGGCTAAATTTGGTTTTAAATATTACACAGCACAAACACTGAGTGTGACATCTGCTGGATAAAAAGGGTATTACAACAAATATGGCTGCACACAGAAATTCAAGGGGCAATTATAATTAGTGTTGCATCGATACCGATACCAGTATTGGGCAGGGCCCCGATCCAGCAGTAAAATGGTGGCATCGGTATCGGTGAGTACCAACAAATAGGGCACCGATACCATTTTGAGAGCCAAAAGTTTATTCAACTATTGTCACCCATTCCAGGTAGGCAATAAAAAGTTCTATTGGATTCACTTTTTATTAGTCCTTTTCCTGCTTCACAAAGGTAGGCAGCAGCTTGACAAAGCCATGATGGCAATTATTTTACATCCAAGTAGTATGAAGTTCTTCATACAAACACATCAATTTCAAACGGATGGTATCGGCCAATACTGCACATCCAGGTATCGGGGACAAAAATGGCATTGGCGCAAAACTAATTATAATCAGTATAAAAACTATAATAGCACATAACGGGCTAGATCAGGGTATACAGAATCTTATAGTATACAGAACATTTAAAGCAGTGGTGGCAAATGGGTCTGGAGGGCCGGATCCTCTACATCAGTGGTCCCCAACCTTTTTTGCACCACGGACCGCTATATGTAAGACAATATTTTCACGGACCGGCGGGGGGTTTAAATACGATCAAGTAAAATGA